GGCAACCTGGTGAACAGGGATAAAAAGGATCCAGATCTGATCTATATATGTGTCAAATCCCCCAAACAAATGTAATTAGCATGTGCTGTAAACATATAGCAAAAATATATTATTTATATTAACTTCTACCACAGAGAAGTAAAAAAAAAATTGCATGCAAGCACAGTGCTGGAAGTCTGGTTACTAAGGATTCCTGTGGATGAGTTCAGTACACCAAAACTGAAGGATTAGTGAAAGTTAGGTGGAAGTAGAGAGGGAGAAAATGACTTTTTTTACCTATTGGGAAGCAGAATGGGAATTATTTATGCGAGAAATCAGTAAGTTCATTTCAGGAAAAATATATGTGGATAGAGGGGCTGGGAGAAGCTTAGCAAAAATGAAGTCAGCAAAGGAGGCAAGAAGGAGACCATACAGGATCTGATGGGGACTTGTGACTTCTTAGACTAAGGAGAGAGAATTAGTGATTAACATAAGTTCAATATTTGCGCTCCATAACTTTGTACTTTTTGACAGTTGATTCTCTTGCTTAATCCTAGGGAAACTTCCTAAATGCAATTGAAAGTCCTACTTGCATATTTTCGTTTCAAAATGTCACCTGTCAGTGACTAAAGGTGGACCTTCTAGCACATCATTATCACACAAAACCCCAATATCATTTTAAATGATAATTGTGTAATATCTTAAAGTCATGGGAAATAATAACCAGGTAATTTTAAAGTATTTCACATGAATTTGCATGTTGAATCTTCAAAAATATCCTATAAAGTAGTTATTAGCATTATTTCCATGTTTCAGCTAAAGAAACTGATATTACATTGAGGCAAAATAATTTTCTCAACACTTCACTAAATGGAAGGCAAAATTTATCTGGTTTTTATATCTGACTCCAGTCAAATTTTCCATTTCTATATAAGAAGCATATACAACTTTGTTCTAAATTTAAAGCTGTAAGTTACGGCTTCAATCATATCTCTTAAGAAACACAAAAAGGAAAATAAGAAAGTAAAGTTAAGAAGAGTGAAAATTATAGTTACATTTTTCTTCTTATTCACAGAATCACAAGCCATATCTGATTAATCCAGTAATAATGCATTGTCATCTTTGATATAACAGTTATGAGAAAACAAATATAAAGACCATTATATCTGTACTAACTTGAATGCTGTACTAGAAATGAAAAGTAAATGGGCATGAATTGTTATAGTTGAGCACACACCAACCTACAATTCAATGTAACTCAGTTATATTTATTATCATTAATTTTTTAGGCATGTTTATATTTCTCTTACCAGTGTAATCTTCATAAGCATTATTATATGAACGTCTTTTTGGAATCACTGTAAAGTATGTTGTTCCTGGTATAGAATCTCGTTTAAAAAAATTACCATTCAGTGTGACATCCATTGCCATTTCAACCAACTTTTTACACATACATTTTATGATGGCTACAGGAGAGAAATATTGTCTGTCAATTTAACTATTAGGTTATATGAAGTCATAAGAAAAATACAATGAACTACGTCAAAAATACAAAACTTCCTTTAATACACTTTGAATTATCACTGCATATGACTTTAACACATAGGTATACATACAGAGACATACACACAGACACACATACTCACATTTATGCAATACCTACATATACTGATATCTTAGCAAGAAATAGGAACATTAAAGAATACGAAAGTAGAGTATGACCAAAGAAAACTCTGGAAGATATACAAAGTCTCATAATAAATCATGTTTGAATGTAGAACTTGGTTTGAGAGACTGATTTACTCATGCCAATAATTCAAGTAGCAATTGTGGACATGAGAGTCTATGCATTTTTTAAGACTGTAGTTTCTGCATGGCAGTATCAAGCTTTACTTTTGTAATAATATATCCAATGTCTTCAAATAACTTAGTAATAAGTTCAGTAATACTTATTTTTAATAATATCTACAATGTTTTTATAGATTAACATGAATCTTAAAATGTATATTTAAATTATTTAAGTAAATTGTTTATGTTTTATCTTAAACTACTAGTAAATATTGAAATTGCACCATTAAATCATCTCAACAGTCAAGAATAAAATTAAGATGATTTCAAAGTTAAAATTTCATTGCACATTAATGTATAACATTAAATGTTTATATATGTGCAAGTATATTAAATTGTATTTTTCCATGTATTAAGTGAAATAGTTCTAAATAATCTTATCAAAAATAAAAATATTTTATGTGTACAACTACTGTTAAAAGAATAAATATTAATGTAATTTTGGCATGTTCTATGATATCATGTGGCCATGTATACTGGAGTCCACATAAACCAGATTATTATCTCTCCCAAATAATTTTTGGTATGCTCTTACCAAGTCAAATGAACACAGGGAATAAACTGAATGTAATGAATAAAGGGAATCCATATAAAAAGCTTCAAAATGCACGTAGTGTTTTTAGAATTAAAAATAATAACATTATAACCTAAACCACATAATTAGTTGATGTTCTTAAATGTATTTTTATAATAGATATAACAGAAGAAATATATTAATGAAATATATAATCAACTGTTTTCCAAGCTAAATAAAGACTTTTTGAGGTACAGTATTCTAGGGATTTAGAAATAAATTATTCTATATGAACAACTACTGTTAAATACAGTACATAACTAATATTATATATTGTATTCTAGGGACAATTTAGTATACTTGAACTATTTATGTACCCGTTGATGACTTTTAAACTCAATAGTAAAAATACTTCAGGTAACACAAATGACATTTATCTTCAAAGTTACTACTATTTTTGTGGGGTTTTTTACTCCAATTAAAATTAAATCCTATAAAGAAATACCTAATCTTGACCTTTTTTGATAGGCAGTGTATCCTGGGAAATGTTTTATTTAGTAGCAAAACGTATTGCTTTTTCCCTTTTCCTAAGCATAATGACAGAATTTATGTCAATGGACATCTAATGTCTATGTGTATAGTTACTGGTGATCAAATCCAGCCCTTCAAGCATGGGAGCAAGCATTCTTCCATTTAGCTACTGCACCAGCCTAGTAACATAAGTCTTTTCTTTTGCTGTGATTAGTACTGCTATGAGAAGAAAAAGGCAATATTTCAAAAGTTTTAAAAATTCATCTGTGTTTCTCAAAGCAAATATCCAAAGCAGCCCTTTGATTTGCAGAAAAATTCAGTCTGTTTACTAATGAAGAAAAATGACGAGATATTTGATATGTTAAATATCTCATATAATTATCTTAGTAGAGTTTCCTTTCCTATATTGATGCTTACAAAAATAGAAAAGTCAAGGAATTTAGAGATGTGAGAAAAGTATGGATGAAAGAAAATTTGTATAAATATGAGCAAAGTCTGTGATATGTGGGGGCAAAAAGGGATCAGGGAGAAAAACAAAGGAATTCAAGGCCAAGATAAGTTTTGTATATTTTTAAAAAGTATGAAAATTTCATACTCTCTGAAAATTTCATCTTATTCTCATTGGCTTTGGAGAATGTCATAGAGGTTTGTTCTGTCAGAAAACTCTACAAAAATAAGTTAGTACACTCACAGAATAATTCTTACATGAGACTGAGAGTTTCAAAGAAACTGAAATACAATGATTAAGAGTAATGTCAGAGAGGGCTGGCAAAATAGCTCAGCTGATTAAAGTGTCTACAAGCAGGCACAGGGGAAGGGGGTTAGATCCCCAGACCTGTTGTGCTGACCCTGCCCACCCCAGGTGCTGTTGAGACAGCAAATGAGACTGTGCACTTGTCTGAAACCCCAGCTCTTCGGAGGCTGTAAACAGGTGGATCACTACTTGTCCAATCTAATAGTGAGACCCTGAACACCTTGTAGGCCCTTCCCTAAAATACAAAGGAAAAACAAAACAAAACAAAACAAACAAACAAAAAAAAAAAAAACCGAGTGACCTGGGAATAAAAGTACTTAGCAATCCTACATTTCTAGTGCTTGGGTCTGTGGAAAAGTGGAGTATGAAGCAATTTCATTTCAAGCTGAACTGTTGTCTGAGTTTCATCACAGGATAGCAAGAGTAAATGTACTTTTGTGCAAAAGTCATTCATTAGATTAATTGTTGGGAGAGACAGTCAGCTTCCAGCACTCCTCCTAATAGGGCAGGCCTCTTTACTTCTTATTTTCCTTGGACCCCAAGTTTCTTATTTGTACAAATAAGGGGTAGAATTACAGAATTGATAAGGTTTCACAAAATGTTGATTTTGTTTTCTCTAAAATATACTTAAAGCCAGGGAGATAGTTCAGTAGAATAAGCGTTTGCCTGGCAAGTCCTGAGTTCAATCCTTGGTATTGCAATAATAATAATAATAATAATAATAATAAAATATACTTACTTGGAGGTTTTTTAGGGGGTGGTGCCTGTGGGAGTCCAATAATAGGGTATATCCACTGTACTCCTTGGACTTCGTCTTTGTCTATTTGCATAATTCTAATTAAAATATTCACAGTAAACATAAAAGTGAAACACTTTCAACACTACATAAAAGCCTTATTCTTTATTGACTTGGTGTTATTCTAGTAAGGTTTGTGGATTTAAGCTCATGCAAAGATTAATTGGCAAGAAAACCAAGCAGTTCTTTTGAATGTTTTTATAAACATATATGAGCAAACTGTGGAAAAATTTTCACAAAGAAATACATCATGAAGTGGAAGGTAAAATTAAGGAGCTTTTGTTCTCTAATGTTAGAGGATGCAGTGGGATTAACTGATGTTACCAAATTGTGATCAATGAGGTGTAATATATCTCTTATTGATTATATTTTAATTTGGAAAGTCAAAGCACAAAACAAAATATTTCATGATATACAGTACTTCATAAAGTGATGAGGAATTTGTTTTAGGGGTAAATGAGTTAAAAAAAGAGAGGACATCTATTTAATTATTCTGGCTTTATCACTCATCATCAGGAGGATAGCAATACAAGCTAGAACATGTTAATGATCATTCTTAAGGTCATTTTTTTGTTAAAATGAAATGTAAGACACTGCAATAAGAGCTAGTTGTGCACGTGATGGGGGCAACTGTGTAAGACCTCACTCATGGAAACACTACATGTGTATTTTGCTCTACCACAACTGTATTCAGGATGGCCTTTTCATTCTCATGTTCTATTGGGAACCACAAATCATGTAGCCAGATATGGTTAGAGTGATGAAATGCCTAGAAGAATGGATACTACATGGATAAAATTAAATGTGGGATAAAATAACAATTTTATTTCAACTGGGAATTTATTTTAATTACTATT